ATACCCCTATATGCTAAACTCATTCCTGGAATTTTTTTGATGAAGTTTTTTATTTTTTCCGAGATAGATGGAATATAAGGAATTACAAAAAATGTTTTTTTTTCAGGAGAAGGTTTTGGGTGTGAAGAAATATTTCTATAATTTAGTTTTCGGAATTTGCTATGTAATCTCTTCTTAATGGTTAAAAGAATTAATTTTAAGGGGTATCCATTACTCAATAAGATTTTAATGATAAAATCGAAGTTAATTTTATGTAATTTTGGATGGGACAATAAAATGATTCTGTCTGTTAAACCAATAATGGTACCAATTTTTTGATTTAAAGGATGGCAAGAAAAGAAATTCAAAAACCGACCTGAAAATGTCGGTTTCCTGTACCAATTAGTGATCACGTGATTGCCCTCTTTTATTAGGGTGACATCCAAAAAGTTTATAGAGGCCCCTCCCTCTTCCATAGTAAACTTTAAGCGAGGATGAAAGGAATTAAACGTATCCAAAATTTCTTTATAGTCAGACGATTCAGTAATCAACAATATATCGTCGACATATCTTATACAGAAAGACGGCATCACCGACAATCTGCCAAGTGAAAAAGTCTCCAGTTCCTGCATCACGATGTCCGCAACTATGGGAGACAGTGGGGACCCCATTGGTACTCCAAAAGTCTGTTTATAATAGCAGTCATTAAACGTAAAACACGACGAGCTGAGAACCAATTTTAGAGATTTAAAAAATTCCATCTTAGGAATATCAGTATTATGTTTTATGCATTCCCACTTTGTCAAAAGTATTTCAATCGCAAGGTCTACAGGAACATTCGTAAAAAGCGAGATGACGTCAAGAGATAAAAAAACCGATGCGTCAGTAACCGTCAATGAACTAATAGCTTCAGTCAATCTGTAACTATTATCAATGAAACCTCTCGCGCGTGTTAGACTATCATGTAAAATTTTGTGTAAAAAGGAAGCTAAATTATGAAGAGGGCTGCCAGTGGACGAAACAATGACACGCAGAGAATAATCCAATTTATGAATCTTTTTCAAGCCATATGCCCTTGGACAAATCTTATTAGTCGACTAAAGATATTTATAAGTAGAATCTGAAATCAACTCGTGGCGCTTCCAACATCTTAATAATGACAAAAGATTCGTAATAATCATGTTGATGGGATTGCGTTTAAGCTTTGTGTATGTTTGCGAATCGGAGAACAGCAACTCCATATCTCTAATATAGTCATCCCTATCCAATGCTACTACCACATTGCCTTTATCTGCATTGGTAAAGATTATTTGTGGGTTATCATTGCAAAAGGTCCTTGTCTCCGAATAAAGAGAAAGAATAGATCTATCAAAGTCTGTATGTGTGAGAGAGTTAATGTTTTTCAGAAGTGGAAAAACCTTATTTCTAAATTCTTTGATGTTAGGAATTTTGAATCTAAGAAAATTGTGTTCAAGATCTTAACAAATTCGATTCTTGCTCTCTCAACATTAACATTCGGTACACAAAAGCCTTGACCCAATTGCAATAACATTTGTACTCCAGGGGGAATGTCTGAAGCACTAAGGTTTTTAAACCAATTTTTATTCACCTTAAATAAGTCATAATTCACGTGTGAATAATCAACACCAGCATTTTATAAGTCTAAAGAATATTAGGAAAAATTTTCAGAATATTTTATTTATTTATGATAAAGCGAATTCTCACAATCGAGATGTTACACACACAACAATGAATTTTATATATTACTATAATTGCTGGCTGAAATCATATTATGTTTCGTCAAGTTATTGTTATCTGTTAAACGAGTAGTTGATTTTAAATTGTATCAAGTTTAACATTGAGAATGACCTAATTGGGGTTGAAACGTTTGTTATAATAAACTTTTGTTTTTTAATAACACAGCATTAAAACCTGGCTTGTAGCCCTATACTTATTATTAATTACATAAAATATGTATTTTATAATTAATTATTAATGTATGTATATGTACTCTTTTTAAAGGAAAAATTACGTTCTTTCAATTTATGTTAAATGTTTTATTTGAATTCTTGTATATATTGGAAGAAATTTAGTAAAATGTAAATATTATTTTATTGTATAATTAGTACATAATACTGAATAGAAAAAGTTTTTGCCAAATTTATCAAAAAAGATCCAAACCAGGATTATATTCTTTATAGTACATATTTTAAATAACCGCAACAATGATGTGCTATTTTTTGAAACTTTTGCAGATATTTAGTATGCAGTAATATAAAAAATTCGTTCTTCAAGATTTATAAAAAACAGAATTACTCGAAGATGTGCTTGCACTTCTTATAACTGAACTTGACGAAAGAAGAAAAAATTCCGAAGAAAAAGAAGACGAAAATATATACAATACTAGAAGTCTTTTATATCTTTTAATAATTTTTAATTATTTTTTAAACAAATTAATGAAGAAAACGGGCAAATAAGAGTAAATAAATAACTGCGCGATTATCGATGCGCTATTATAAAATTACATTATCTTTAAAAAAACAGTCACAATGTATAAGTACCTAAAATTTTACATATTTTGGCCCGTATTCAGAACGCGCTTTTATCGATAAAAGCGCACTTTTATCTCTGAAATTCTATAATATACGTGACGTAAAATATAGTATGTTAGCGTGCTAACATCGTTGTAAGCGCGTTCTGAATACGGGCCCATATCTTTTATTTTGTATTTTATTGCTTTAATGTTCGCAATTTTTATTTTTTATATTTTAATGTTTACAATTTTTATTTTTTAATTTTTCTTATGAAGACCAAGCTATAATAATATAACTTGTATTAAAAATTATAATAAATCCCAGTTGTATATATATACATTTTTTTAAATAACAAAAAAAGTTAATTTTTTAAATTTACATAAAAATTTAAAATCCGTGATTATAAAAATACTTATTAAATACAATTTTATCATTATTTCTTAAAAATTGAAGTTTTGTCCAGCTGAATTTGCATTTTATCTGTGCATCGTCTAAAATTACCTAGTTTTATCCTTGAAAACTAAACTCAGTTTGATTTACGTCTTCCAAATTATAACTCTTATATATGTATAACATCTAAAATTAATATTTCAAAATATCTATTCTTCATAGAAAAGTCTAGCTTGTGAACTACAGCAACTGATCACGGAAAGGACAGAGTATTTTACAGTAGACACAGCTTACGAAGCAGTTGACTCGATAGAAGCTAGTGGAGATTCAGAGTTACTGGATTACTGGTGGAAGACAATTAATACTTCATATGATGGTATAGCTATGATAATATTGCTAATAATATTACTTTTTTGTTGTATGAAATAAAATAATAAAAAATTGTATTTTGTAATTACAATAATAAAAGATAAATATTATATATTTTAGATGAAGTAGATGAGTTAGACTCGAATTTAACACTGACATGTACGATGATAGATTTGGTTTGTGAACTTCTAGCAGGCATTGCTAGTAACAACACACTACAGCAAGAAGCAGTCGTTAGATGGACTAAGTTGCTATTTGGCAACATTTCAGAGCCAATCCTACAGGTGAGGTTTATATTCAAAAGAATATTACATTTCTTTCATAATTATTATATTTGTCAATTTTATGGTTATTTACAGAAAATAATTCTTTGGTTATTTGACTCTCTGAGCGGCTCTTCGTTAATTTGGGATACATCACATAATAACACAAGTCAGAACAATACACAGTTGAAAGACAAGTTGTTGCATATACTAGAGGAAAAAATATCGTACGATGTAAAATTGATATTCGGCGAAGACGATATACACAACGCTCTGAACTATTTGTTAAGTTCATATAAAATCAAAAAGATCAACGTAGATTTAAATATGCAAATGTTGGATGCACTGGTATCAGAATTATTGATTTCCTGTAAAACAAATCACGACGCCACAAGGAATTAATTTCGTTTATTAAGTTCTTTAAATAGAAGATTGTTTGATAATTAGTGAGATTCGCACACTTTTATTCTTTCGATAATGCGTCTGTGGAGTCAATAAGATACTTGTATCAAAATTATATTTAAAAAATCGATATGTGCCATATATAAAACATATCGCTCCCATTCTTCAAAAGTGACAAAACTTAAAAAAGATTGATATAAACGAATTAAATAAACATTATCCTATCCAATTATTACTCAATCATCAAAAGTAAACGACCTAACTGTTGTGTGTTCACATCGTGGTCCAATATGATACTGTAATATTGAACTAACTTAATTCCATTTTTAAAAAATCGTCAAAATTATTACAAAGGATAGTATTTTTAAAAATGTGAAATGAAAATGACAAAAATAATATTTTATCGTATTAAAGATATATTCTTTCTGCCGATATTATTTGATTCAATAATTTTCTATTATTATTAAAAAATAGTTTCTTTCCTTTTCTTAATTTTTTAAAATCATGTGACTTTTAAAGTAAGAGCGATATGTTGACCGTTTATGTTTTGTGAAAAATCCGACAATTTTTAAAAAATGAAGACTGTACCTGATCATATATTTACAATAAGATATGCCAAGTATTTTTTCCATTAGAGAATAATGGCTCCTTTCAATTGAATGATGGTGAAACGAGTCACTCTTGGGAAGGCACTATATGCATTTCTGGACTTACTAAGGCCTCTATTCTATAAATCTTAATGACAATAACAATATTGTTGCATTAATGATGCACAGCTTTTTCACCATGTACTACACAACGACAATGTAATGATATTGTTACTGTCATTAAGAGTTACAGAATAGGGTCCCAAGTATAGTATTTATATTTAATAACCAAGTTTTGTACAAAGAAATTGTGCTCCCGTAAAACATATGGTGCGTGATATACAACCTTTATAATGCAGTCCTATTATATTCAAAAAATTATGAAGAGTTTTATGTGTATACATACATACACACATATAAAATATAGATATATACACGAGCTTAATATTTAATATATTTATTTTATAAAATAATAAGATTAATCGTACATTACAAATTAATTAATTTTTCTTGGGTACATCATTTATAGCCTTCTGCTTCTCTAATTGTGCTCTGAAATGTAATTACAACACTGTAAATTTTGTGTACACTTTGCAGGTTCGTACAGATTTTAAGTAGATGATCTAAAAATATACGAATTGCTAAGAGGAATACTCAAAACCAGGGTTGGGAGTTACTTTTTAAAAGTAATGTGTTACCGTTGCCGTTACTTGCGGTAAAAAGTAACTCGTTACCGATTTTAAAAAGTAAAGCGTTATCATTACTTAATAACGATAAAAAATCGTTTTTCGTTACTTTTTGTGTAATTACACAGAAGACAAACTTACTCACAGATTTTGATGAAATTAGGGTCATTCGACACGTTTTTGCACGAAATGAACGAATCTGGCAGAAAAATAAGTGTCGCTCTGCCCGGCGAACAGAGATATTAATGGTTAAAGTTGATGATTATTGAGATAAGGAAATCTGTCAGATTAATTCATTTCGTGTAAAAATGCATCGAATGGCCTTAATTTCATCAAAATCAATGAATAAGCTTGTCTTCTGCATAATTACACTTTTTAAATGTTAAAACAGGCTTCTAAGACAGAATGCTAAGACAGAAAATAAATTAAATATAAGATATTTAGAAAGATATTCATCTTTGAACACATTTTTATCTTTTATTAATATTGCACATACTTATGTTTAATTCTACGGTATTTTATTATATAAGGGATATTTTAGTTTTTAGCGTTCTTATGCTAAAGCGAGAATAATGAATGAAGCAAAAATAAGTAAGAAGTTTTGTTTATTTAGTATCTATAATCTTATTGTCCGTAACGGTCATGGCCTATAAAAAAGTAACGATACAAGATACGAAACTTTTTCGTTACTAATAAAAAAAAAAGTAACGGCGTTATCAAATCATTACAAAAAAAGTAACGAAAATGTAAGGTCGTTACAAGTAACGCGTTACTTCCTAACCCTGCTCGAAACATCCTAAAAAATTTTATTTTTATAGTTATATTTTTTATTAGTATAGTCTGTATAGTATAGTGTATGTTATTAGGTATACAAATGAATAGTCAAAATTTTTCAGCTAAATTCGAGATTTATTTTAAAAGAAAGTAAAACAAATTTTGCAATCAAAGTATTCGCCGTTGCTTTCTATAACTTTAAGGAAACTGATAAATTACATCTCGGAAAAATGCTTTTTCAAGCGGATCAATTGGCGTTGGTAGCAGTCCACCGTAACTGTTGGAACTGAGTAAAACAAACCACTTGACTCAAGAATTGGAACAGAAACGCCCATATACTGGTAAAGGCGAACGTCCTGTGAAATTGTTGCATGACAACGCCAGTTGCGGAATTTTTTAAACCTTTTGTCGCTATCGTTAACTAGCGACAATCAATGAGAATCGCGCCTTCTTCCAGGATTGTCCTACCATTGGCTATCGCTAGTTAACGATAGCGACAATCATCGATAAAACGTTTAGAGAATCCTGCTACAGGGCCACACTGCTTCCAACATAAAAAGGCTATATAATGAATCTTGGCTGGAATGTCTTGCAGCACTCAGCGTATTCACCAAACATTGATCCAACCGATTTTCATTTGTTCCAGTCAATGCAACACCCCTTGTCCGATACTCACTTCCAATTAATGGATGAGATCCGAAAATAGTTTCACTTTATCGTATCCAAAGACACAGTATTTTTCCGAGATGGAATTCATCAACTGCATGAAAGATGGCTTAAAGTTATAGAAAGCTACAGCGAATACTTTGATTGAAAAATTTATTTTACTTTCTTTTAAAATAAATCTCGAATTTAGCTAAAAAATTTAGATTATTTATTTGTACATCTAATATATGCTGGTATTCATATGCTGTTCTTATTTCCAGACTGTCTTAAGTAATGTCTTAAGATATATATATATATATATATATATATATATATATATATACATAGGGTCCGCCAAAAATATCTGGACGGT